TAAATATAATTTCATTTTTATACGTAAGAGAGATTATTTAATTTTGTATATGTAAGAAAAAATTCATTTTTAGCCCCTTTCGTATTTATATTGATTAATAATTAAATTTATGGGAGACAATAAATTTATGGTGTTGAAAGAGAGATTTATAGGATATTGATTGATAACAAATTTATGGGAGGCAATGAATTTATAGTAATGAAAGATTGATTTATAAGGTAAAATAAAATAATTATTTATGTTTGATTCCAAGCTAATTATGTTCCCAAAATTTTATCCGAACCTAAATACAAAGCTAGATGTTTTGACATGTATGATTCCAAAGCGTGCGAGCCTACCACGTAGGCTCAGCATGTTTTAAATTAATATATAATGGGTTATTTATTTTTAAAAGGGTATTTTTTTTTAAAAAAAAAAAACTTCTCAATATAGTAAAAATACAAATTTAGGTGGGATATTTTTATTTGATTTAAAACGGTATTTTTATTTTTATTGATTTAAAAAAGTGTATTTTTCGATGATATTTAATAAGTATATAAATTTCAAATAAAATTCGATTTTCGAATATAGTCAATAAAATCAAGATTCTCAATAAAAAGAAATCTGCCTTTAAAAAGCACTATAGATATAAACGCTATGATAAGATTTTTTTGACAGAATGAGGTGAGTTTTGAAAATTGTGTTCAATTGACAAACTTTCAAACATAAAATCAGATGTTTTAATAATTATGGAATGGAAAAAATATTATGGAAAGTTTGGTTTCGTCTCTTGAATGTATCCGGTTTCTAAAATCATGTAGTACTAGTACAACACGGGCATTGAATTAAGAAATATTTATATCAAAATATTTAAAGATAAACATAAATAATTTAATTTTAATTTTTCGAATGTCGTTGCCATATGCAAGGCTTATCCGTACATGATTGATTATGGCGTTCATCCCCTAATAATTATTTTTCGTGATTTATAATCTCCTCATCACTCAAATAAAAAATAATGGTATAAATGGTTCATTTTATACATGGTAGTATAAGAATATTGAGATGTGCGAATAAAATTATTTATGGCAGTAAATAAATAATTCATTTCAACAGAAAGTTTTGTCAAATACACATGGAGATGTGGCTAACAAATAGAAACAAATTATATACAATTCACTTTGTACTGTAAACTTAATTTTCATTTGCCATACTCAAGAATTAAATTTCATGTATACAATTCATTTTGATTAATAAACTTAACTTTCATTTGTATACGTAAGAGAGATTATTTAATTTTGTATATGTAAGAGATAATTCATTTTTAACCACAGTCATATTAATATTGATTAGTGGATCTGGTAGATTAGTGGATGTTGTGGTGCAGTCAGCTAAAACTAAATCAGGAAGTTCAAAGAGTCAAAAATCTTTTGTTAGACAAACTACAAGCAAAAAGCATGAGCTAAGGAAAAAGATTTAGCTGGTGTTAACACAGTAGTTTTGAAGGTTGGTCATAGTGATCTTAGGTCTCTAAAAAAGAGAGTAGATAAAGTTGTTTTAGCTGGAGAAGAAAAAATTTATACCAATATAAATTTGATTAAGAATATATATTTATTCATTGATACAAGAAATAATAAAAATTTTACTTATTCTTGTTCACCATAAAATACTCACTTATTATTTTATTATAAAATTTATTGTCTTATAATGTCATTATCATTATTTATATAAGTTATAGAAGTAGCTTCCTTCTTCTTAATTTATGTAATGAAAAATATCTAATGTACGGAAATATTACCTATTAATGTAATTAATTTAAATTTACATAAATAAATTTAAAATAAAATATTTTGTATAAATGTTTACAAACTACACACACATGCTCATAATAACAAAAAAAAATTATTGGCAATCACCGAAAAATAAATTCCTTGTATAATCAAGAATTTTTTTCTAATTTGCATTCCAAAGCTTTATAGGTTATTTAACATACTATGCGATGGAAATTATTATGATAAATTCATTATAAAAAAAATCAAAATAAATAAAAATGATAAGAAAAAGTATCATGGTTGATAATAATGTATATACAAATAAATCATATGTTGAAATTTTAAATAATAGTTAATACATTTTAATTTTATTATCTAGCCATTCGTAAAATTATTTAATGTATCTGATCATTATCTTTTAAATGAAAAATTATTTTAATTTGAAAAATTATTGGTTTTTTTATATAATTAAATAAATGTTAAAAAATATTTTCAGAAAATATTAATTCACCAACTTCATTTCACCTAATTAGTTGAAAGGAAAAAATTATCTAACATGTTACGATTGTTTATAAATATTTTAGGATGAAAGTCAATATTTGTGAAAAAAATTAATAATATGTTTAAGACTTAAAATTTATATTAACTAAATTATTATCAACATGAATCACGAAAAATTAAATTATAGTTTATTATAATGGATATTAATAAAATTATTGCAGATGTTAATAAAATTATTAAAAGAAAGAATATTTTTTATCATACTTGATTTGGAAAGTATATATATGCAAGCAATTAATGTATATATTTAAAAAATTCTCAAATAAAATATGCATTAAATGTTGATAGATTTTATTAGTACTATTTTTAGTAAATGATTATTCTCTTTTTATATATATAGATTGAAATGGTTTGCATCTCCTTTATTAATTTTCTCCTTATTGATAAGCTAATATTTTGTTTACCTATTTAAATCTATTTTGCTTATGTTTTATTTTTTAATGAATTTATTTCGCTTTTGTTATAATCTTATTTTATTGAGATATTTAATTGTGATTGTAATTAATTGATATACTTAATGGTTAATACAATTTTGCTATTAAAAATAATATAAACATAAGGACTTTTTAGTCCGTACAATTTTTCACCAAATCATTCGCCATTTTTTAATAGTATATATATATATATATATATATATATATATATATATATATATATATATATAGATAGATATAGATATNCTCGAGGGTGCGTGTCTTACCGACACGTGGACACCCCGAACATTCGTTTATCGGCCTTTGTTGGTTTATATTTTTTTTTTGTTTTGTTTTTTCCTACCTAAATTGTTGGGCCTTTTTTTGGGCCCAAATGGTATCGTTTTTAGGCTGCGTCCTTTGCTGCCTATTATTATTATTTTTTTCAATCCATTGGATTTATTTGTGGGGCCAGAAAGTGTCGATTTTTTGCATTCCCATAAAAAATTCATCATGTACTCAACCTTGCTCCGCCGATTTACTGCCTTTCTCCCTTCATCTATGGTGATTTGAAATTATTTTTTTTTTTCTTTCATTTCATTGTATTTCAATTATTTCTGTTTAATTCTCCCATCTGCTTTGTCGTCTTGCAGCGTGTTCGAGTGCTTCTCGGCATTCCTCTTTGTGATTTGATTTTAATCAGATAAGTTTTAATTAAATTGTTTAATTTTTTTATTCTGCACCTCATAATGTGTTTATTTGTGTGATTGCAGATTATAAAAAGTACAATAAATCTTCCAATTAGGTTGTCTTCTTTTGACTGAACTGATTTGATAGCTTTCTGTTTGCAATTATAGATTTTTGGCTTGCAGCTGCAGCCATTTTGGTTTTTCTATTATATACGTGTCCATTTTGTTGGGAAAGTATGTATTTTTTTTTTTTGAATCATCTTTCTATGGTTCGTATATGGCTAGAAGGTCAACACCTATATTTTTTGCCTTTCATTAGCTGATTAGGTTTAATGATTTTTTCCTGCTTATTTTATTTGCAGTTACTTTTTCCTGCTTTGTTTGTGAATATCTGCATATTAAATTTATAATTAGAAATGTGTAATTTGCATTGTATATAAGTGGTGACCGCAATTTTTGCTCTTAGTTGTCTTTATCCACAACAGTATGTATCTTCTTCTTTCTCTGTATTTGCTTTGCTTACCTTTCTCTTCTTTTATTTGTTGTATTTGGAATATTTGTACTCTTCCATTTGAATATTTGAGTTTGCAGATGTTTTTTGCCGTTTTTGGTTTACAGTGGGAAGTTCATTGCATATGAAATATTTCGTGTGTGAAAAGTTTGTAAAATTTATTATTTAACTTCATCTCCTTAGTTCTGTTGTGTGAAGGGACTGTGTAAAAAATTATATACTTTATTGTTCTAAAGTTTTGATATTTTTCTTGCTATTCTGTAGATATTTTCTAACAGCTGCATTTATTTTGTTGTTCCTTATTTTGCTTCCAAACACATGGCATGGCTATGTTTTGTGTGTGTTGGTGATTTGAGTTACATGCTCCTTTTATTGTGCTCATGCTCTCTAATCCTATTTGCTTGCTTTTTTTTTTTAATAGGTTTAACTGGAATGGACTTGACAATTTTATTTATTTTTTCATTCTTTAATGTAGATGCCAGTCTGCTTCTTAACTGTTTGCTATTATTGGTCATTAGTTCCTTTTTTTTTCCTCATAATTTGTTTGTGTTGAAATATATTTTGTCTTGTTTCATTAATGTTTAGATCAATATTGGATTATTCTTGAAATAGATAGTTCTTTACTTTACTTTTAGTTATTGCAATTTCTTCTTTATCTTTTTTTTAACAGTTTTTTGACCTAGAACAATTAAAAAACCTAAACCTGGTACTTAATGCATGTGTTTTTTGTTTTTTTGGATTTTTTTTTATTCTTTTGTCAGGTGCCCGCGCATACCTTGGTGCTTGTTATCTCAACTTACGCATTTCTGCTTCTTCTGTTCACTTTGCACAGGTTATAGTCTGAAACCATTAATTAGTTTTTTCTCAGAGAAAAAAAAAATTCTATTAGTTTTCTTGTTTTATTTTGTCCGTTCTTCCCATGGGAAGAAAAAGAAAAGAAATGCAGGATCCTTTACCAAGTGGTGGGGATCCCTTGGCTAAAAAACGATATAGGCAAGAGGCCATTAAAAGATGGAAGTTAAAAAAACTAAACAGAATTCAGCCTCATCGTGTTGCTCATGTGGTAGATGTTGAAATGAATGATTTTACTGTTTGTGCTAATGAAACACCTATTGTTCGAAATCTTGATGCTATTGTGGAGGTTCAAAAAGAGATTTCATCTGTTGATGTTTTTCATGAGATAGTTGATGTTGATAGAGAGTCTCATAGGGATGGACCAAAAGAAAGTCATCTTGTCGAAACTCTAGATGTTCAGAGAGAGTCAATTAGACAGGCGGCAATAGAAAAATGGAAATTTAAGAAAAATAAAAAATCAACTAATAATGCACAGGTGCCTGTGATACAAACACCTGTCCACGAAGTTAGACATAGTGCAACACTTGAAAATATAGATTCTGTTGTTGTTTCCAACATGTATAATCATCTTGCTGAAACAAGTAGTGCTCCACAAAGAAGAAAAAATCAAAAAAGTTTGGTGGGGAGTGCTGCTCATAGAAAAAAGACCAACAAAGTTAATCAGATTAAAAGTTTGACAGATGGCAGGTATCGATTAGAATCAATTCCTTTGGCGCCGTCACAATTGCGTAGTAGGCATGATTGTCCGCATTGTTGTGCCAAAAAAATTGAATATGAGACATATAATTTATGTTGTTTGAATGGAGATGTTTTTTTGGCTTCCAATGATGCTCCTCCAATATTTAAAGAACTGTTTACATCTTCATCGGATGAGTCTACGTTGTTTAGAAACTGCATACGTACTGTAAACAACCATTTTGCACTAACTTCAATGGGAGTTCACACTGACAAGAATTTAGAAAAACGTAATAAAGGCATTTATACCTTCAGGATTCAAGGGCAGGTTTATCATTTTATAGGAAATTTAACTGAGTCTAAAAACTTGCAGCTGTATTTTCATGACACTGATGATGAGGTTATTAAAAGATTGGAAGAATGTCCACGTTTGACAGAATCATTAATCAAAAAAATTTTAACAGTCCTTGAACAAAATCCATATGTGAAATTTTTGAAAAGGCTTAGGGATATACCCGATTTAGAAACTTATGAAATAGTTTTGAAAACTTTGCCTAATGTTGATCAAAGAGTCTTTAACCAACCTCAAGTTTCTCAAATTGCTGCACTGTGGGTTGAGGGAGAGGAAAATGGAGAGTTAGGCAATAGAGATATAAGAGTATATTCGCATGGTGGACATTCACATAATATAAGTTATTATTTTGGTTGTTATGACCCGTTGCAATATCCGATACTTTTTCCCTTAGGAGAGGTGGGTTGGCATCAAGGTATTAAGAAAAAAAAAACTACAGTTGATGTGAATAGAACTAATTCCCTTCAGCCTACTGAATTTGTTGTGAGACCTGATTTAGCAGATGATTTTAGTCAAATGCTTGATATGGAATACTCAGGTGCGTGGTTTTTATTTAGCGGAAATGCAATTAATTTGTTTTTTTAATTGTCTTTCATTTCTCATTGAAAGTCTGACCATTACCTTTATTTTCCTTCATTTCAGCTGAGTCTATCAAACCAGATTCTGAAACATTCGTGTCTGTTAGAGCATATTATTCATTTAAATTACAGATTAGAGATCATGATAAATCATATTTGCTTAGATCTGGTAGACTTTTGCAGCAATACGTGGTTGATATGTATGTCAAATTAGAATCGCAGCGTTTGGATTTCTTTAGACTGCAACAAGAAGAAATTAGGAATGAATACTTACAAGGAATTCAGGACGCTTTAGCCTCCGGTGAGACTGAGGGATCAAAGATAGGTCATAGAGTCTTCTTACCAGCCAGTTTTATTGGTGGTCCAAGGAATATGAAAAGGCGATATATAGACGCAATGACTTTAGTCCAAAAATTTGGCAAACCTGATATATTTTTAACTATAACATGTAATCCAAATTGGCCTGAGATTAAACAGTTTTTATTGCCTTTTGAAGAAATACAGAATAGACCAGATTTAGTGGCTAGAGTTTTTAATGCCAAGCTGATTAAATTAAAAGATGATCTGTTTAAAAAAAATATATTTGGTCAGGTTGTTGCATATACATATGTGATTGAATTTCAGAAAAGAGGCTTACCTCATGCACATTTTTTGATAATTTTACATCCAGAATTCAAATTATTTAGGACGGATGAATTCGATAGAATAGTATGTGCAGAAATACCAGATAAGCATGTGCATCCATATTTACATAGTGTGGTTAAAAAACATATGATGCATGGTCCTTGTGGAGAATTGAATAAACATAATTCATGCATGACTAAAAGAGAAAAGTGCAAATTTAAATATCCTAAAGATTTTTGTGACGAAACAACGCAAGTTTCAGGTGCTTTTCCACAATATCGTAGGATGGATAATAATAGAAAAGTTAAAGTGAGAGGCAATCAACTAGACAATAGATGGGTCGTACCATATAATCCATATTTGCTTGCAAAATATAATTGTCACATTAATGTAGAGGTTTGTTCTACTATACATGCAGTTAAATACATATACAAATACATATGTAAGGGTCATGATAGAATCAATTTTCATGTTGCTGCGGACAAGCCAAATGACTCTATTGATGAGATTCAACAATATACAGCTGCTAGATGGGTATCTCCTCCAGAGGCTGTTTGGAGAATTTATAGATTCTCCATGGGTGAAATTAAACCAGCAGTCATTCATCTACAGTTGCATTTAGAAAATTATCAGAGCATTCGCTTCAAAAAAAAAGATAAGCTTAAGAATGTAATTAGAAATCCTGCAAACGACAGAACGATGTTGACACAATTTTTTTATATGAATAGAACAGATGAGGATGCAAAAGAATTGAATTTAACATACCCAGAATTTCCTCAATACTTTGTATGGCTTGTGAATGAAAAAAGGTGGAAAAGGCGAGAACGACAGGAATCAGTGGGTAGAATCGTATCAGCACATCCTGCTGAAGGAGAGCGTTATTACCTTAGATTATTGTTGTTAAAAGTGCGTTGTCCTAAATCTTTTAATGACCTAAAATGTTTTAATGGAGTGTACGTGAAAACATTCCGTGAGGCAGCACTTATTAGAGGATTATTGAAAGATGATCATAGTCAATATTTATGTTTAGAAGAGGCCGCACAATTTAAGATGCCTTATGAACTTCGAAGACTTTTTGCTAATATTTTAGTTTACTCATGTCCAAATAATCCACGGGATTTATTTACTAAATACGAAGCCTATATGTCTGAAGATTTCTTTAGACAATCAACCCTAACTGTCGTGCAAGTTAGAACAAAAGTTTTGCAGCAAATTGCTGGGTTCTTAGAATCTATGGGGAAATCAATTCATTCATTTGATTTAATACCTCATGATATAAAAGATCTTAACACTGCAAGTTTAACAAGAGAATTAATAGCAGAAAAAAATATAAATGTTACAGTTGAAGATTTAAACGCAATAAATTTATTAAATGAAAAACAAAGAATTGCTTTTGATGAAATATGTGCTCGCATATACAATAATAGGTCTGGAGCCTTTTTTATAGATGGTCCTGGTGGAACAGGTAAATCCTTTCTTTATAGAGCTTTGTTGGCAGATGTCAGGTCAAAAGGCTACATAGCTTTAGCAACAGCAACTTCTGGTATTGCTGCCTCTATTTTACCTGGTGGTAGAACAGCACATTCAAGATTTAAAATACCATTGGACTTATCAAAAGGCACAAATTGTACAGTCAGCAAACAAAGTAGTCTTGGGGTATTACTCAGAGATAGTAAATTAATTATTTGGGATGAAGCACCAATGGCTAAAAGATCTGCAATAGAATCATTAGACAAGTTGCTTAAAGATATATTAGAATCGTCAGAAATATTTGGAGGTAAAGTTATTGTTTTTGGAGGTGATTTTAGACAAGTTCTGCCAGTTGTCCGTAGGGGTGGACGAACTGACTCAGTAAATGCTTGTTTAGTTAATTCACCTTTATGGCCACATTTAGAAAAAATTCAACTGACTGAGAATATGCGTGCTAGACTAGACCCTATTTTCACAAATTTTTTGTTGAGAGTAGGAGATGGTACAGAAGAAACAGATGATCATGATTTTATGGCGATGCCTACATTTATAAAAACATTAAGTATGAATGACATAGATGAACTTGATAGTCTCATAGATATTGTTTTCCCTAATCTGCATGACATGAATAATGATATATTTACAACAAATAAAGCTATTTTAAGTACTAGAAATAACTTCGTTGACGAGGTCAATAGTGTCCTCATAGATAGATTTCCAGGAGAGGCGGTTGAATATTATAGCTTTGATGAACCTCGAAAATCAGCACATAAAGGCCAATATGAAGATATAATCAATTCATTGACCCCAAGTGGTATGCCATCTCATAAATTAATCCTGAAAAAAAATGCCCCTATAGTCTTGCTGCGCAATTTAGATCCCACAGAAGGATTATGTAATGGAACTAGATTGATATGCAAAAATTTAACTAAAAATATTGTGCATGCACAAATAATTGTTGGTGATTTTGCTGGAAAAGAAGTTTTTATACATAGAATACCACTAGAACCTCCGAGTGATCAGCAATATCCAGTACCATATGTACGGACACAATTTCCCATTAGATTATCATTTGCGATGACAATTAACAAAGCACAAGGCCAGACTTTAGATTTTGTTGGTGTGTATTTGCGTGAGCCTGTTTTTTCGCATGGCCAATTATATGTTGCTTTATCGCGAGCAAGAAAGTCATCTGATGTTGCCTTGCTTATAAAACCACCATTCTTTGACAGAAGGAAAAATAGACACACCAAAAATATTGTATTTCAAGAAGTTTTAGAAAAAGCACAATCATGAACATTTGCTATTTTTTTTCCTAAATGCTTTCTGTAGTAACTCATATGTTGTACAGTTCATTTAAATCCATGTATAAAATTTTCTATTACTAATCTTTTATTATTATTATTATTATTTTCATTTAGCAACATGTCGCGAAAATATCTACAAATTGATGAAGTTACCAGTGAAACTGAAGGTTGGACTGTCATTGTACAAGTTGTTGAAAAAGGCCATGTTCAAATTGGCAAATCAGGAAGGCGAACACCATATCGAAGACATCTTTTCACTGATTCAAAGGTTCAATTAATTACACTGAACTATATATGTGTGTAATTAAAAGAAACAGTACACAAATTAGGCACTAATTACTTAACTATTTTCAACTAATACGAATTTTTTCTTTTCTTTTCTTTCTTCGCAATAGGGAACTATTGTTCAGGCAACAACTTATGCAGGTCAAGTCCAGTTCTTCGAGAGCCGCATCATGCCTTATAAGAGGTACTATATTTCCGGAGTTAATGTGCAGCCCGCTAATCCACAATATCAAGTCAGTGACTACCCCTACACATGGACAATCCGTTATGATTCTCTTGTTGAGGAATATCCAGAACAGTTGCCACCAATGTTGCCTTGCAAAATACAGCTCCAGCAATATCAAAATCTTATTTCCTTTGCAGAAACTGAAAATTATCAGAGTTAGTCCTTTGTTGTTTTCTATGAAATTTAACAGTTCATATCTTCTTACTCAAACATCTTTTTTTTTTTCATTATTGATTATTATTACTTTCTTTTATTGTAGATGTTATGGGTGTTGTTGTGCATGCCTTACCAAGAAAGGACGTTTCTGATAAATCAAAGACTAGGGATCTTGTCATTGTCAATGAAGAGTAAGTGTGTATTTAAAAGAATACATTTTTTTTATTCAATTATGATTATAAAAAAGTATTGTTTCTATCATAAGATTTTTCCTCTATACTCATAAAGAATGATATACATAATTTAATCGCTGCTATATATAATTCAGAAATAGGCCGATGATATTAACTCTTTGGAATGAGTTTGCAACAAATGAAGGTGCACATTTAGCTGCTACAATTCCTACTGGTAATATCATAATCGCCATGAGGGTGAAAGTAACTACTTTCAACTGTAAGTTCTTCTCTAACAATATTTATTTTTATATGTATATTATTTGTTATAACATTTTATGAACTGTTCGCTATTTGATGTCTCATAATTTACATTTTTCAAATGCCCAGTGCTTTCACTCACAACAACATTTGTGAGTGCCATAATGGTCAACCCACCAGTTCCTCAAGCACCCATTTTAAA